ATAGAGATTCTGTTCTTCAGGACTTCACCATCTAGTAAGGGAGGCAATATTTTTGAAAGAAATAACATTAAGTAAAATTAAAAGCATCTATTCACTGGGTATATGAATGGCTCATCTGTCTGCCTCTGAAGATGGATTCATCCACCTCTATGACGTAATAGAGGGAGAGAGTGATCAGTGTGGAGCTCAGAGGCAGTGCGTTCAACTGTCCCGGGGGTGGTCCAAGAGAGGAGGAGCTTTCTTTCTTTCTTTCATTTCTTTATTCCACAGTTACCTATGACCCCCTGTAGGCTAAACTCTAGGGATAGGAAAAACTGGGACATAGGTTACAGTCAATCATCGTGATTTGCAGATTCTATATCTACGAATCTACCTACTCACCAAAATTTATTTGTGACTCCAGAACCAATACTCTTGGCACTTTCACAGTCATTTGCAGACATGCACAGAAGGGTAATAAGTTTGAGTGTTCACTTGACACACATATTCCCAGCTGAGGTCAAACGAGGCGATGCTCTGCCTTCTTGCTTCAGCTCTCCTGCTGTAAACAAGTGTCCTTTTCACGGTCTATTTAGTGCCACATTTTTCTGTTTTTTCATTGGTGCTTTCATGATTTAAAATGGTCCCCAATGAAATGGGTAAAGGTGGTCAAAAGGTACAAACTTCCAGTTGTAAGATAAATAAGCCCTGGGGATGTAATGTACAGCATGGTGACTGCAGTTCACAACAGGCATTGTATACTTGTAAGTTGCTAAGAGATTTGGAAAGTTCTCATCTCAAGGAAAAAAAATTTGTAACTGTGTGTGGAGATGAATGTTCACTAAACTTTTTCTGGTAATCATTTCGCAATATATACATATATCAAATCATTATGTTGTACACCTAAAATTAATGCAATGTTATATGTCAATTATATCTCAATTTAAAAAATAAATAAATAAAATGGCCCCCAAGAGTAGTGCTGAAATGCAGTCTTGTGTTCTAAGTGCAAGAAGGCTGTGATGCGTTATGGAGAAAATACAAGTGTTAGATAAATTTCCTTTAGGCATGAGCTATAGTGCTGTTGCTTGTGAGTTCAACGTTAATGAATTAATGATTCGGTACATTTAGAAAAAGAAAGGAACTTTGCTGATCTGCCCTTGAGTCTGCCCTGGAAAGTGCTAAAGTAACATCTATAGTGTGTAATGAAGCTGTGGAAAAGGTGGAAAAGCAGCTGAACTAGTGAATTCATGAAATGAAGATTGATTTAAAAAAAAAAAAAAAAGCACGGTGGACAGCATTGTGAGACTGAAAACCAAGGAAATTTAGGGTTACTTTACCCAGGCTCAGGATAATGTGAAATCCTTTTCTGCTAATGTTTTATCCTACAGAAATAGTGCCTATAACAGATTATATGTAAGCAACATACGTCAAATTAGATGTCTTCAAACAGAAATGTATACGAAACAAGTTTATGTCTTGATCTATTGATGAAAGTGTTGTGGTGTTGTGACCAGAGGCCCACAGGAGCCTAACCCTATATGGCTCAGTATTTACTAATTTGATGTTCACGGTGACTTCATAGAACATGACTATCACAAAGAAGGCTCGACTGTGTACGTAGTATGGGAAAGAGACAGGTAATCAACAGTCGCTCTAGAAAGTGATCAATGTTAAGACAGCCTCCTGCACTGGGTGCCTGGGGGAACACATGGATGAGACCAGGTGACTAGGTTCCACATTTAAATATATTTTTCTGTAAAAAATTCTGAAAGACACTTTTATATTTTTGCTTTTTAAGTTACTTGTCTAGATCAACACAATTTATGATTAGCTATGATTTCTTCACATGCATCAGACACACTCAAGAAATCTTGCAAAGTGAGAAAAATCTAGCCCACAGAGCATTCTCAAAAGTAATTAAAGTTTTGAGTGAGTTAAAAATTCTACAATTTTAATGAAGTGTTTATAGAGTTATATTTGGTAGACAGTTACACATTTATTATTGTCGATATCAATTTTGAAATTTTTTATTTTCTAGCCAATAATTTTTGTTTGTTGGTTTCAAGTCATTTTTTTAGGTCCTGAGAAAGTTCATATTCCTTGGTCACCACAGGATAGATCCAGACTTTGAGGACTCTAAAGCTTGTGCAGTTCGAGGGCCTTTTTAAGAAAAAGAACATAAAATTACAAAACCAAAACTAGACCCCTTGGAAGAGGCAGCATTAGCTTCTTGATTAATCTGCCTCTATTAGACACTTAGAGCCTATTGGATACAATGTCCTCTGCAGAGGCCACTCTGGATACCAGAAGACCAGGTGGGAAGGTAGAGCAATAGTTCAGGAAACAGAAGATGAAAGTCCAAATTTATGGATGGAAAGGATGAGATAGATACAAGAGCTATTGAAGAGATTGGTCTGACAGGACATGGCATTTGATGAAGAAGGTGTCAGAGGGTGGCAAGAATGTATACTGCTGGGATGACTTCATGAGTCATAAGAGGGAATACAGAAGGGACACGAGTGGTTGGGTGGAGCAGGTTTGGAAGATAAATGACTTCAGTTTGGGAAATATCAAACCTGTGGGGCCAGTGGACCGTCCCAAGGTAATACAGGGTGCATTCCAGATGGAGATGTATGGAAGCCATTGCATGTATATATGGAGTTCACGAGAGAGGACTGACCGGTGTGCACAAGTCAGCTGTTGGCGTGTGAATGGTCGTTGAAGTTGATGAGATCTCCCAGACGAGTGCATAAATTAAAGAGGGATGCACAATGGAGATAGCACCCTGGGGAACACCAGCATTTAGAGGTAGAGAGGCACAGAATGAAAATGGAGAAATATTTTTTTATTCAATACTGTTAATTGAGTACCTGCAGGTGCCACATACTATGCAATGTGTTGTGGGTCAGAGAAAGCTGAGTCGGGCACGGAGATGGTCAGCTGGGGCCAGGGGTCAGGGAGACAGGTAGCTCCAGATAGCTGGAGCTTGGAGGGTGAGCACAATTTGGGTTTTCCAGATGAGAGAATTGATGAGCAAAGGCACAAAGTTAGAAAAACAGGAAATAGTGAGCAGCTCATTCTGACCAGAATTTAGGCTATTGAGAGAGAGAAGTGGATGAAGATGATAGGTTGGAATTAAATTATGGATGGGTTTGGAAAGCCAAAATATGAAGTTTAACAATGGGAGCCTCTGATGATTTTTGAGCTGAGGAATTTTACAGTCGGAGTTGTACGTGCGAAAGAGTTCTCTAGCAGCTATGCAGACAACTGGCGTTGCAGAGGCCAACATAGAGACTCTTACAGTAGAACCAGCAAGAAGTAAGGGAGCCTGGACTCAGAGGGTTGCCATAGAAATATGGCGGAGGGAATAAAAGTGAGTGATTGTGTCTAGAGGAATTTATGGCATTTGACTGACAAGACTGACAGGTTCTATGACTGAGCTAGTAAAGACTGAGTCCAGGTTTTGAGCCTAGATGGCTGGGAGGCAGGTACAGCATTTCCTGTAATTGATCTGTAAGAACACAAACCACAAGCCCTGGAGCCCACAGGGAAAGAGGAACATAACTGTGAAAGTGACAGAGGGACTTCGCTGTGTGAGTCCTCCTCCCTGTGACCTGCACATGGGTCGCATCACTGCAGCCTCAGATCGTGAGGCTCCACACTGTAGCTTGACAGGAAGGTCGAGCTCAGCTAAAACGCCCATATTTCTCCATCTTGCTGTTGGCTTTGTTGTTTGTTTGTTTTTTATTTAATCCTGAACTAGAACTTGCTTTTTTTCTGGTGGCGTTTCATCTGGTTGGGTTTTGCCTCCACACCCCATTGGTTGAGCTGGTTTTCAGCTTTCCTTCATCTTCCCTGAAGGGAACGGCCCTGGCAGGTCACACCACCTCTCATTTAGATGAGCCTGCCTCTAGGCATCTTGCTTTGGTTTTGTCTAAGAGCCAGCCTGTACCCCTCGCAGTCACTAATGGAATGCAGGACAGAGGGGCATCCTTCCGGCCTGTTCACGAGTTCTCCTCAGACAGAGATCACCTTGAGATAGCTGGGAAGGTCAGAAAATAGGGACAGAGTAAGGGAGGGAAGGGAAGGGGGAGGCAGAGAATGTCTCCTCTCAGGTCCTGGGGACTGGCTCCCTGGTGACCACACTGCCAGGTCCCCCAAAGGACTCACTGAGAATCCTCTGTAGGCCCCCTTGGAACTCCCGCCGGAAACTGCCTACAGCTGCTGCTTCCTGGATCTCCTCCTGGGGTTTGTGGAGAGACTGCTTTCACGTCTCCTTCTCCCTTTCCTGGAGGACTTAGCAACCGGCAGCCGGGCCCAGCAACCTAATTTGCCCTGTGTTCAAAAATAATTAAGAACACCAAGACAGCAACATCAGAGCATTGAACCAAGCACAGGCCCTTCTGGAGTGCTGGGCCTGAGTAGCCTTAAAGGTGACACTCTCATGAAGCCCTGCCAATGGACGGGTATCAGTGATTCACGAGATGTGACTTTACTGTGCATCCACACTTCCTCCCGGGGCCAGGATAAAGCTGAACACTGCCCCTTGGCTGCAGATATCCACATGTATCTCCTCAGAAATCACTGAGAACTGCTGCCCCAGCTGAGACAACAGAGACGCCAGGGACACCCACCCTCCCTCCATCCACTGGCCAGTCCCTTAAGGAGACCTCTGTCACCTATTCCTCTTCTCTGTGCACACACCAAAAGAGGACAGGTGATATCTCAGAAGTGGTCCATGAGCCGCCATTGTTCAATTTTATTATTAGTTGTTGTTAATCTCTTACTCTGCCTACTTTATAAATTAAACCTTATCATACATATGTATGTATAGGGAAAAACGTAGTATATATAGGGTTCAGTACTATCCATAGTTTTCAGGCACCCACTGGGGGTCTTGGAACATATCCCCCACAGAAAAGGGGAGCTACTATATAAAAGAATCGACTCTGATTTCTGCTTTCCTCCAAAGGTAATAACTTTCCAGCTGACTTTGATTTCTTGTTCTGACCCTTCAGAGACAACCCTGCTACTCACTTTAATCTCAAGACTCACGTGAGTTCCCGGGATCTGAAGACCGCCATCGAGAAAATCACCCAGCGAGGAGGGCTGTCTAATGTCGGTATGTGATCCCGGTGCAGATCGCTCCATCTTGCTTCCGCGGTTCTCTTTCTATGTGGTTGTCTTCTATACAGGAGGAGGAAAACTAATAATCGTCCATCAAGAAAGGAGTCACATAGTATTTGTATCTTTTCTAAAGTATGATCGTGTTTTCAGGGGCAAGAATTGTTATCATACATATGCTGGAGAGTTCCAGCATGCCTGCTTCCTTGGGATGGCAGCTTTCTTCAGGACAAAGAGGCCTGCTATTATGACTGTCTCCTGATTGGTCTACAAGTCATCAACTATCTAAAGTTAAATGTTTTAACCAGTTCCATTCAGGAAGCTCCACAGTGCCCCTTGGGAAACTTCTTCCAATCAGCTCCTGTTAAAGTGATGACCGTGCAAAGAGAGGCGTGTTCTTTATCTCAAGCCCAGTCTTCTGTGATGTCTGAGCCTTGGTGGCGGTGATGGGGTGGGTACCAGAAATCCGAAGTTCCATTCCTCAGTGGGGTAGGTCCAGAAACTTCATTTTATCGGTTCACCCAGCAGTGACTCAGCATTAGGAAACAGATGCCCACTAACCAAGCTCAAAGGCTGCCAGTGAGCCCGTGCCAATGTATTAATTTACAAATGGTAGTCTGGCTTCAGGGACACTGGGAAGGGTGTCCACCTCTCAGGGAACTTATTGGTACCATTAAAATCCAAGGGTATGGAGAAGTGAGCCACAGTTGCTTGGCATGGATCACACACAGGGAATAGAACTATTTTTGAAGGAGTATGTTTGAAGTTATAGTAAATTCAATTTAATTACTTCCCTTTCCACCGAGGTGTATATCTCTGTAGACCAGTATATTAGTATCTGGCAAATGGAGAGCTTTGATCTTTGAACAATGCTAAATAAACACTGGTCAAGGCACTGCTATCCGGACCCCAAATCAATATTACTTCATCACAAACATGATAGAGTCGATTTCTGATTTATTTTCAATTTAGTACCTAGATCAGTGAAATTCCAATAAAGTATCATGGAGTAAAACTTAAAAACTTAAAGACATGCTATTTCCTTGAGGGATTAGAGAGGTGTCTTAATAAAATCATCATATGTTTTTTCAGTGGATGACATGTTCTCCCTCTGCCCTGTACTGATCAAGGTTTGGGTTCAGAGAACAGAATCCATTTCAATTGGCTTAAGTAGAAAGGGATTTATTTCAGGGTATTAAGTGGTTTTGAAATTATTGAAAGGACTGAACAAATGAACTCTAGGCTGAGCTTTCAGAGATGGCTTCGAAAGTCTTCCTGCAGAACCAGGAGCTCCAAGGAGGTGCTGCCTCTTACAAAATCTGGAAATCAATTTTTAAATTCTGCCACCACAGGGGACTGGCCCCGTGGCCGAGTGGTTAAGTTCACACGCTCTGCTGTAGGTGGCCCAGTGTTTTGTTGGTTCGAATCCTGGGCACGGACATGGCACTACTCATCAAACCACACTGAGGCAGCGTCCCACATGCCACAACTAGAAGGACCCACAACGAAGAATATACAACTATGTACCGGGGGGCTTTGGGGAGAAAAAAGGGAAAAAAAAAGTCATTAAATTCTGCCACCACAGTCTCTTCAGGAATCTGCTTTGGCAGGAAGCCACCATGATCAGGAAGCTTCTGTCACAGCTGCCAGCTCCAAAACCATGCTTTGTCTGCTCCATTCACACCCACAAAACCAATGTTCTGCACTCTACCACCTCAACACCAACAAAGTTAGTGACCAAACACAGGCACCTCTGCTAACACTGCCCCGGAGAAGTCACGTACTCTACAGATACGTGTCAGTGGAAATAGCAGAATCAAAAATACTGTCTCTACTCCACTTTCATCTTCTAAATCTCATGTGTGCATCAATTCCGGAAACTAAAACAAATCCGGAACTGTAGCTGCAAGGGAGTCTCAACAATGCAATTTCAGATTTCCAGCCTCTGCTTCCAAAATATGCTAGAAGGTGAATGGAATGTATGTTGAGCACTAGTTGACCATGGCCTCCAAATTTAAGATTGGGTGAGGTCAAGGTGCTCTTCCTATGGCTCCCTGTGCTCTGTCTGCAGGCATCTAACACTAAGCCAGAGGGGACTGCCGGGTGACTTGGGCCTTGAGGGAAATTATCTCTTGCCTATGAAAGCAGTTCTCAACAGCCCAGGTTTTCTCTTAGCAACTGTGTTCTGTGCAGCCAGTTCACATGGGTTCTCCAAGACATTTCTCCAGCAACTGCGTCTGTGACCATTTGATCCTTTCACTTGGCAGGTAAGATTATACTAGCCAAGGGAGCCAGGATGCTGTCCAAAACCAAAAAAGCATTGAGGGTAATGACATTAATCCTAAAGTCTTAAGAAGGTGGTTCCTAACTTTTATTTAGATTGGGGACCCCTTTGAGAATCTCTTGAAAGCTACATACTTTCTACCCAAATAAATACTTATACACACAAAATATTGTGTATAATTTCAGGGAATTTGTGGGTATACCCCCGAGTGCCCCAGGGGTCCACAGAGCCCAGGTTAAGAGCACTGCCTTCCCATATGCAGCTATGCTGACACTAGGGTGACCACTTAGCCATTTGCCAGGAGCATATGGGGCTTTCAGTGCTAAAACTGGGAAAGTCTCAGCAAACTGGGACAGTTGGTCACCCTACTCATAGACACAGCCAGGGCTAGAACACAGTCTTTCAGTTCTTAGGGGCTGCAGCACTTTCCAGGTAGCTAGCATGGAACTGGACAAAATACCCCACTGAACCCAGAATATGGCCCTCCACACCCAGCAGCTCCTGGAGCACTGGGCTCACCCCAAGCAGCAGGAGGCCAAGAAGAGTTTCCCATCATCCAAGTCAAATCCTCCCAGCCCATGCTCTCAATGCAAACAATGTGGGGCTGGCTTAGGGGCTTAGTGGGGTTCCAGCACCCTGGTGGAGAAGGGACCCTTTTGTTCTCATGAATGTCTTCTTCACCTGCTTGCTGGTCCCTAAAACTTTTTTTAAAGCAAAAAAGAATTAGAAATCACAGGTTTAAAATGAAACGGGGCAGGGAAATTCATAGTGATGATGGTTGCAAGACCTTGTGAGTGTGCTTAATACCACTGAACTATACATCTAAAAATAGTTAATGTGGTAAAAAAGAAAAAAAAGAAAGAGACAAGGGAGGGAATGAGTATGTTTCTCTGGACCTGCTTATGCTGCTGTGATCTGTTCCTGTATTTATAATCAGCATGACCACAATCACTCCAAGTGTGAGTTTTCTTTTTCTTCCAGGTCGAGCCATCTCCTTTGTGACCAAGAACTTCTTTTCCAAAGTCAACGGAAACAGAGGCGGTGCTCCCAATGTGGCTGTAGTGATAGTGGATGGTTGGCCCACGGATAAGGTAGAGGAGGCTTCAAGGCTTGCAAGAGAGTCAGGAATCAACATTTTCTTCATCACCATTGAAGGTGCTGTTGAAAATGAGAAGCAGTACGTGATAGAGCCCAACTTTGCAAACAAGGTATGTAACTGCCTGGAGACCCACCCAACGTAAGGATTCCCTGCTCTGTGCAAAGCTGTTAACAGCCATCAGGGCAGGGTTCTCATTCCTTAGATGGGCATTAAGCTCACTTCTAGGCAGGAGGGCCCCCAGTGAGGGACTAGTAAGTCTGGGACCCAGAATTACCTTCTCAAAGCAAAACTCCAAATGCACCTGTGAACTGAGGCCAGCATTGGCACCTTGAGAGGAGAACTGTCCCCAAGGTCTCACATGAAGCCTTTCCTGGGCTCCTCCCACAGCCCAAGGGACCTCAACCAGGCAGCCCAGGGAGCCTTCACATGAGCACACACATGGGCACACATACACTCTCTCACACACGTGTGCACACAGACATTGCAAATTAGCCAATCTGATAAACAAGAATAAGGTGGCATTGAACCAGGTCAGGTTTTCAAATGCTGCTCCTGGTCATCTACTGTGACCCCCCCACTACAGGCCCTGTGCTCCAGCCAACTGGTTCCTGTCCACGCCAGCACCACTGCCCTCTCCCGCCATGACTTTACCCAGGCTGCCCGGTAGGAATTCCTCCTCTCCATCCATTGGCTGGAATTCAGCTCAGCCTCAGCGCTCATCTCAAATGTCACCTAGTCCATGGAAGGATTTGTGAGCCCCATTTAGATTTTTATAAACCAATTAAAAATATTTCCTAGGATATTTTTAAGTCGTTTCTTGCTCAAGAATAATTTTTTAATTATACAAATCCATCTGTAGCCATCAGGTTTGTGATTCTGTCTGTGACCCCCAGAGAGGCAGCAGCAAGGAAGAAACGCTCCACTTTAGGAACACCAGCCCTGTCACTTCCAGGAGCACACCAACCAGGTGTTCAATGTTTATTTGAAACTGCCTTAAATTTTTTCTGGAACAAGCTTGGGCACAAGCAAATAAATATTCTTTTGCCTGAAGGCAGGGTTGTCTGGAGGACATTGCTTGAGTTTTAAGAGCAGAAAGGTTTGTGTTTCAGTCTCAGGAACTCAAGGATGTCCCTTCACAGCTGACCTTCAGTTTGTTCCTTCATCATAGGGGGGTTATAATTCCACCTTGTAGGATTAGGGTGGGAGGTTAATGAGAGAATCTCTCCGAGAGCTTCAAGAACAACTCGACCGTGTGTGAGACCCCGTCTCTCTGGGTACAGGGCTGCTCTGGAAACATTACTTTAGCTATTTCTCATGTGTGTCTTGTTTTCCTGATCAGAACAAAAGCTGTCTTTAATCCTCTCATGCGTGGGCGCCCTCCAGTGCCAATCATTTGGCTGGCTGCCGGTACAAATGAACCGAGGGGCCTGGAGCAGCATAAATATGAAACTGAAACCAAAGATACGCCTCTCCCTATGGATTTGCTTGACTGACTGCTCTCCACTAAAGCAGAGACCCAGCTGAGGGAGTGGGAGCGAGTCCAGAGACAACTTGAGGGGTCTTTGCCCCAGTGAGTGCTTGACTAGGTACACTGAGATGCAGAAAGCTTTAGGCGGACTAGTGCAGAAATGAGTCTGTTTGCCCTGGTGGTCAAGGGTAATGATGATGGATTGGAGGATTTGACCCCTGACCTGGAGAGTATCCCTCCCCTCTGTCTTCCAGGCTGTGTGCAGAACAAACGGCTTCTACTCGCTCAATGTGCAGAGCTGGTTCAGCCTCCACAAGACGGTGCAGCCCCTGGTGAAGCGGGTGTGTGACACTGAGCGACTGGCCTGCAGCAAGACCTGCTTCAACTCGGCCGACATTGGCTTCGTCATTGACGGCTCCAGCAGTGTGGGGACGAGCAACTTCCGCACGGTCCTCCAGTTTGTGGCCAACCTCAGCAAAGAGTTTGAGATTTCAGACACAGACACGCGAATCGGGGCTGTGCAGTACACCTACGAGCAACGGCTGGAGTTCGGGTTCGACGATTACAACACCAAGCCGGACATCCTCAACGCCATCAAGAGGGTGGGGTACTGGAGTGGTGGGACCAGCACGGGGGCTGCCATCAACTACGCCCTGGAACAGCTCTTCAAGAAGTCCAAGCCCAACAAGAGGAAGTTAATGATCCTCATCACTGATGGGAGGTCCTATGATGACGTCCGAATACCAGCCATGGTTGCCCATCACAAGGGTAAGCTTGTCTTGCTGAACATCTCTCTGGGGCTTAGTGGGCCAGTGTGACAAGGAAGGGACTGTCTTTGTGCATTGGTTTTGTCTACCAGTCAATAAAATGTTCAAAACTGTCGAGAGGATATTTGGGGTGTAGTTAAATAGGCCCCTGTGAGCGGCGATGAAGGAATGAGCAGGGAAGATGGAGGTAGCTTCCAAAGTTCATGGCAAATCCAAGGCCTTGGGGTGACTGGGAAGGTTAACCCTTTCCTTTACACCCCACACCCTGAGGCGTCCCACACGGAGGGGAAAAGGAATTTGACTCGTTACTTTGATCTCTATTGAAGACCACAAAATTGTGTTAGAAATTTGAAGAAAACTAATGTTTTAAAAGAAAAGTACTATTTTTATCATCAACTGCTAACCAGATGTTGGGGGTTTTAGGGAGACCTCAAAGAAATTTTCCTTCAAAATATTTAAAGAGCTGGGGCCGGCCCCATGGCTGAGTGGTTAAGTTTGCACACTTCACTTCAGCGGCCCAGGGTTTCACCAGTTTGGATCCTGGGTGAGGACGTGGCACCACTCATCAGGCCATGCTGAGGCGGCTTCCCACATGCCACAACTAGAAGGACCCACAACTAAAAATATACAACTATGTACTGGAGGGCTTTGGGGAGAAAAAGGAAAAATAAAATCTTTAAAAAAAAATTTAAGGAGCTATTTCCATATAAAAATTTGTGAGAGGCCAATAGAAAGTTTAAAACCATGAAAAATGAGCAAAATATTTTTGTTGATATTTAGAAAGTCAGTCACATTTAATGCCTTTTTCACAAAATCTACATATAATCACTGTTTTGAAAAGTGCTGTAAAATATCAGAAAACTACAACCTGGAGAAAACCCCAAGTCATAACAGTATGATAAAAAAAGTAAGCCAACAGGCCAGCCCGCTGGTGTAGTGGTTAAGTTCATGCACTCTGCTTCAGTGACCCAGAGTTTGCAGGGTTGGGTCCCAGGTACAGACCTGCACACCACTCCTGAAGCCACACTGTGGCGGCATCCCACGTACAAAGTGGAGGAAGATTGGCACAGATGTTAGCTCAGCGACAGTCTTCCTCAAGCAAAAAGAGGGAGATTGGCAACAGATGTCAGCTCACGGCCAATCTTCCTCATGAAAAGATTTTTTTTTTAAAAGTAAGCTGAGTGGTCAGTGAATACCAAAGACCTACAGATAAGCACTATTGAACAAGACTCACTTGGGGCCATGGTTGTTTTCTTGCTATAGTTGTTTTCTTCTTCCGTGTACATTTTTTTTTCCTTTTTCTGCTGAGGGAGATTCATCCTGAGCTAACGTCTGTTGCCAATCTTCCTCTTTTTTTGCTTGAGGAAGATTGTCCCTGAGCTAACATCTGTGCCAATCCTCCTCTATTTTGTATGTGGGTCACCACCACAACATGGCTGACAAGTGGTATAGTTCTGTGCCCGGGATCCAAATCTGAGAACCCCGGCTGCTGAAGCAGAGCACACCAAACTTAACCACTATACAACAGGGCCAACCCCTTCTGTGTACATTTAATTTGAGTTAGTTTGCAGGATTTTCAGTATTCTTTAAAGCTGTTGTTAATCCTTCCCCAAACAAGGAGAGGCGTACTCCTAGTGGCAGGATGGTAGATGGCCTGCATGCCTGCAGTCACAGTGTCTCTTGGGCTCATGGCAGCAGAGTGAAGATGGTTTAAGGTTCAGAGACAACCTGCCCAAAGTTCCAAAGTGAGTGGGCAGAGCCAGCTGGGCCAGCTCTTGACGATAAGGCCAGGGGTCTCCTGCTCTCTCTACACATCTGTCTCCAGCTCATGTCAGCTCCACTCTCACTTGTTTTGCTAGATGTATCTCCTTTGGGCCTCACTCAAAGGGTATCCTTGGCCTCCTCATCAGAGGTGAAGACTGAGGGAGATGTCCTGGGAGCTGTCAGAGCATGTGGCGTATTCTGGACAGGTTTAAAGAACCAGGACCAGTAGATGCAAATTACATGGAGCAATGAGCATTGTGTCCCTGGGAGTGTCCAAGCCAATGCTGGGTGACCATCAGTCAGAATTGCCAGCGGAAGATTTTCTACAATAGGGGTGGACTCAGGGATCTGAAAAGCTAAATTTCTAATACTATTTGTGTTGTCTTTTTGGGGGGTCAGCCTTTCCATCTTTGAGCAGAAACAAGGCCTTAGTCAATCTAAGCTGCATTCTGCAGCAAAGCTCTTCCACTGCCACTTGGCAGCATTTTAAAGCCCAAAGCTGGCTTTTCCCAATGTAGACAACATTCAGAGAACAGACACTGGAGAGGTCAGAGAAGGGACTGGTAGCTTAAATGCACCTTAATGAGCCACAGCTGAAAAGCAGCTTGGACTAGAACCATGTGAGGTGTGGATGGCTCTCCCATCAGCAGGACAGGGTGCCCAGAAGATGCTCGAGATAACCACACGGGCCGTGGTGGGTGGCTGAGGGAAAGGCACCTGGGCAGGAAGGCCACAGCCAGGCTCTGCCCTCTGTTTCATGGCCATCTTGCTCACTCACTCTACTCTGGCCAGGCTGAAGGTGATGTGGGAATAAGCTTGTGTAGAGTAAGGTCAAGCACCTTCTGACCAGCTGCCCCGAACCCAAATCGAGAACCATATACCAGGCAGTCTCCCAGTTTCCCCGGTGAGAATAGATGCCTAGTCTCTGAATCTGTCCTCTCCTCCCTGGGGCATCTTGCCTCCAGTTGTGGTCCAACTCCTTTCATCCCATTATACTCTTCCCCATTTGCATCGAGATGTGCTCGAGTCCCTCCCTTCCTAAAAAACAAAAAAATTCTCTTTGACCTCGTGTTCTGCTCCAGTTACCACCTGCCCCCTCCTCTTTACAGGCCAACTGTAAGGGCTGGAAAGGATTGTATGTGCTGTCCCCACATCTTCATTTCTTTTTCACTCTCAACTCACAGCAATTCCTTTGGTTCTTTGGCATCTACTCCCCCGAAACTGCTCTCACCAAGCTACCAATGTCTTGTTTTTTACAAATCCATTGAGTGCTTTTTCATTTTCCTCTTACCTGACCTCCCTGCAGCAGCCAACACTGTTGGCCCCTCCCCTAGCCTGAAACCCTATCTTCACGGCGGTCATGGAGCAGAGGCTGGGTGACCAGCTCTCCGGGTCCTTGTGCAGTGGGAATGAAGTTGGATCCATGGCTTGTAAAGTCACCCTCAAGTCTAAAGTAACCCAGTTCCACTGGATTAGTTAAAAAGATCTTGAACTGTCTTTTGACACGTTTAAGGCTCTCTGAGGTTTTGTTTGGCTCTACTCACGGGGACAGCAGGTGTGTGCCATGTGGTGTGATCTGCGTGGCACCAACGTTTCACTTGTCCCAAAATATCATCCCCTCTGCTGCTCCTGGACATGAAATTATTATCGTGTATTTACTCCATTCTGTCTGGTTTTTCCCCCCAAAGATTATAAACTTCTATGAGATAGCAGCTATATCCATTTTGCTACTGTTGGCATATAGCAGATGTGCATGCTTTGGGGCACGCTTGATGTTGGATTCTATTGTGTTCAAACACAGTAACCCACAGAGCAAGAGGAAGACAAGGATTCCTTAGCAGGCCCTTCTCTTGGGCACATTTGCTTCATCCAAACTTTGTCCCCACAGGAGTGATCACCTATGCAATAGGCGTTGCATGGGCTGCACAGGACGAGCTGGAAGTCATTGCTACTCACCCTGCCAAGGACCACTCCTTCTTTGTGGACGAGTTTGACAACCTCTACAAATCTGTCCCCAAGATCATCCAGAACATTTGCACAGAGTTCAACTCACAGCCTCGGAACTGAATTCAGAGCAGGCAAGGCATCAACACCTGCTGCTTTCCCACTGGCTCTGGGACAACCCCCAGCGCTTTACAGGGCACGCGGGGTGGCAAGGCATGTGGGGCTTCCTGGAGAACAGATGCGTGGTGGTTATTCTTTGCCAGCATGGTTTTTCATACTTCAAAACTTGGAGCTTGAAAGATAATCATAAATTTGTAGACTGAGGCAAAATGATACATCATTTTGAGGGTGCTGAGGATTTTCCATTTTGACAATTGTTTTCAAAATAAATGCTCAGAATAGAGTGCAGGTATTATGACAGGCTTAACTAGAGCTTCTGTGAGGTTTTTTTTTTAACTTTATTTCTCGTTAGAATTCTGTAACTCTCAACAAGTTTCATTTTGGTCACGACAATATGGGAGTTGCTTAATTAAATGTTTAAAAGGATTACGTGCCATCATTCTGACTATGTCATGGGTCGTGTTCACAGGGTCTGTGACAGGGCCACTCTTTGCTCTTCTCGTTCCCCAGAGCATCTGCTGCCCACTCATTCCTGTCCCAAGGTGACACACACCCATGGGGATGCAGAGAGAGTGTGGCAGCAGCACTGCTGCCAATTCACCTCCTCCTCTCTATTATCTGAATCGCCACGCACCTGCCAGCTGTAGCTATAGAGCAGCTGGGGGATGGCCTTGGAGAACCAAGTTGATCTCGCTTAAAAGCAGTGCATTAGGCTAGTGTAGATGCTTTTAGCTCGAGCTGAACATTAGAATCGCTTGGGAGGCTAAAATGCTGGTCCCCAGGCCCCATCCCAATACCAGTCAAATCTGAGTCTCTGGGAAGGGAGCCTGAATGTTGGCGTGTGTGAAGAGCTCTCTGGCGTTATTGCTGGGCTGCCAGGATTGACGACCATTGAGCTACTTCTGAGGGGTCAGTGTCATAGCTGTTTCCTGGGAGAGCCCTGTTTATGCCTATTGTCTGGGGTCCCATCCAGTTTTGCATTTGTCCTGGGTTTTTCATTTATTTCATGATTAATAGTTGCATTAAGATAAGTCGGGATGGGGTTTGCTTGAACTCCACTTTTTACTTCCAGCTTCTGCCAAGGACTCATCCATTAGGAGGTGAAATATTTGTGCAATCGGGGAATGTTCAAAAAAGTCATAAATAAAGCTGACTTACGTATCGACAGTTATGTTTTGTAAAAATATGTGTTGAAGAACGCGACTCTCAATGGAGGCAAAGAGATAGCGTCTGTGTCAATACTTGGGACAAAATATTTACATGAAAAAATTGAAGATATCATCTATTTATCAGAATTTGCATTGAGCTTACCAAATCTCTCACTATCTGGAGAGAGAATATATCAGCAATTTAAAATATTGAGGTCAACAGAGAAAAATCAATTAAAGGTGTCAGCAATTGCAAATTTATTCACCATAAACTTCACGTTGAAAGCCATGGCAAACAGATTCGTTCAAAAACCTCAAAATACAAAAAACTATTTTAAAAAAGGAAATGCTTCTTAAAGATACCAGTGACACACTATTAGTGAAAAATTCAGCGAAGAAACTACTTAAGGAACTGAAGTCAGTACCAGGAAGGATTATTCCACACAGATTTTTGAATGTGCAGATAATGGATATAAAGGAGTTTTTCAGTGTTGCTTCAACGTACACATATAAATTATTTTAATTTTTTAAAGAAAAATTTTATTTTGGAAAAGTTTTGGAATATAATTATTTTATAGGATGCTTAATATAAAAACCAATTTGTCAGCAATAAGTAAATATTTCCAAAAATAATATAATTTTCATTATGTTGCTGTCCTCTTTCAGTTATAAAATTGTCCCACTTGGGGAAATAAATGATCTGGTCACCCTAGTTACAGGTCTTATAATTTTGAAGCTAAATGAAGCCTCTTCGAACATGCATTGTCTACACCTTGTCAACAAAGATTTGAGTACATGCTGCGGGGAGGCAAGGCTCACCAGAATGCAGGTGGTTGAGGCACTCAGAGGCTACGGTGTTGTCAGAATTGTCTGTGTGGATGTTCAGATCACCAAAGATGATGACAGGAGTTGGGATGGAGAGAGAAATTGTGAGGCAAGCTTTGGTGTCTTCAGGTTGGGAGAAGACAGCAGTGACAGCAATGGAGGGCTGAGGCTAGATCTTCGAGGGAGCTGGGGGCTTTGAGGCAGGAAGGAGCAGAGACTGGGAGGGCAATGGGGGCGAAGAGCAGACCCATCCCCATTCTAGGCCTGAAATACACGGGATGAGAGAGCACCAACAGCCTCCACTTGGGAGGTTGCAGAAGACAAGCAGGTTTCAGGTAAGTTGGGGTAAGAAGGGGAGGAGGCTTCTGGTAGATCGCTGACCACAAATAGGCACTCCCCACAATGCAATGGGAAGGCTGGGGTGGGAATGGGGCTGAATCAGATCAGGGTTTGCACAGAGCAGTTTGGAGATACGGGCCCTGGTGTTGTTGGGTCAAGTGGGAGGCTTGTGTATAAATGCCACGTTGCTCAACCTAAACTGTACCCAACACTGCTGGAGCAGGGCTGAAATCTTAACTCTAGAACTTTACAGACAATCCATGTCAAACCCTCCAAAGGCAAAAAAGGAAACCCAGGCCAAAAGAAGGCTGTACAGGTACGTAGGGACAGAACTAGAATTCAGATAGCCTGTCTTCCAATCTACTGACTCATTTGACGGCGTCTGGCGGGGGTCAGATGTCCCACACCTCCCCCATCCCTATCCTACACACACACCTGGCTGTGCACACTTGTGGGCTCTGGTCCAGCCTTTGCAGAACTCTCTGGGTCCTGCAAACTCAGAGCCAATGTCCCAAGGCAACTGTTTCTTTCATTCCACGGTCTCAGCAGAAAAGATCCTCTGTGCCTTTCTCCTCCAGGTCAGCCAAAACGAGCAGATAAGGAGCATCAGGCCAGCTTCTCTGGGTACATATGATGTCTAAACTCCACCCAACTTAACTGTCCCACCTCTCAGGAGTTAGGGCCCTTTGAAAGACATTTCTTTGCTAAAAATTTTGCAACAAGGCTCTGCTAAAAATTTTCAGCCAAACCAACAGGGTTCAGATATTTCTTCTTTCTCTGGGCTCTTTAAACCCCTTAGAACAGGATAAACGCTCCATGAAGCAAGGTTTCCAGCAGCAAAAGTCTCTGGGGGCTGGCACAGGTTTATACAGAAGACAATGCTTCTGTGTCCATGGATTTTCCAGCCTTGAAGAGGAGTTTCCAAAGCCTAATGTTATTTTCCAGCCATCATCCTAAGAAAAGTTCTCCCCTTAGATTAGCAACACATAAACGTAGTAGGTAGGAAATATGCTTGAAAGCCTGAATTCAATTACCTTGGAAAGAGACATTTATTCAACTAATGCCTTTGAGGAATTCACGGTCCAGTGGGAAACCACACACAAATGAACAACTAAAAGTGAACAATTAATATCATGGGATTATGCACAAAGTGCATGACTGATGATTGCAAACAACCTCATGAGAAATAAAATCATACTAACGCCTAACTGTTCATGAGTGTCTGCTGCACACTGGGCACCGTCCTAAGGGCTTCACATTTATCACCTAACTTATCTCACCCCTATGATTTCTTGAGAGGTACTATTATTCTTCTCATTTTCCAGATCACGCAACTGAGGCACACAGGTGTCAAGTAACTTGCCTAAGGTCATAGAGCCGGTAGAGGCAGATCTGGGAATTAAACCCAGACAATCTGACTCCAGGGTCTATATACTCAGTCGCTCTGCTTTTTATAATGGTGACACACAAAATAACCAAAGTGGCTGCACAGGGGCTTCTCTAGTAAGCTTGACAATTTAAAATATATGTCTAACTCTGCAGAGTGAACTCTCACGGTCTATTGAATGTACAAAGTGAAGAGTCTGTTAAACGCCCAATGCAAACTGTGCATCCCCCCGTCCTCCTCTGGAGTCTCTGGACAGCCATCCTGCCCTCACTTGTGATGGGTGATTTTCATCTATTGTCCGTAGTCCTTGTAGCTCCGTGAACACATGGGGCTGCCCATCCTCTTGTTAAACTCCTATTCATCCTTTGAGTCTCAGTATAAGTGCCGCTTCTTTGGAGCCCCTCCTGACCTGCTCAGATAAACTTAAGCTCTCTGGATATAGAATCCCGGCTCACCTGTTTTCCAGTGATCACCTTGGCCCCTTCCCATTAGGGGACACAATCCACATCTATCATGAAGGACATGGAATACAGGGAATGAGAACTTTGAATCTAAGTCACCTGACAGTGCCAACCTTTAACACAATGGCACTGGTAGAATGAGAGTGAGAGATATTTCAGGAAAAGAGAGACAGGATATAATGGCAAGAGAAAGAGAGGACCTCATTCCATCCAGACTGTACCACGCTTTCAAGTGCCCTTCTAAGGTTCATTGCTCTAAGTGACAATCACTGTTTATCTAGGACCAGAATCCTCTCCAGATATCAATCCACAGAGTAACTGTTTCTCACCTTCCATTCTCATTTTTCCTACAGAAATGAAAATCACATTTTCTATTTACCTCCCTGAGTTTCATTCAACAAACGTGTTTTAAGCACCTATGATGTGCCAGGCATTGTGATAGGCAGTGGGGTCCAACGTTGAAGAAGACCTGGGCCCTGCCCGAGGAGCTTAGAGGCCAGTGTGGGAGAGTCACGAAGAAACAGACAACGTCTGACTGCAGCAATAGGTGACAGGGAAGCTTGGACAGGCTTCCTGGGCTGGGTTTTCTGGGAAGAGTCTGTCTTAGCCAGAAGGTAAAGGCATCCCAGCAGAGGGAATGAAGGGAGCAAAGGCAAGGAGGCCTGAAACAGTGTGACACATAGAGAGGATGACAGAGTGAAAGCCCAGGCAGGGCTGTCAGGAAATGAATCTGGAGAGAGAGGCAGGGACCTGACCACGGAAGGCTGTGTTGGTTAAAGTTCTCTTGGTTGCAAGGAACTGAGGCTCCACTCACAGAATCTCAAAGAAAGGGGGAATTTTTGCAAGCAAAGTGGAGTAACTCGTGAAGTCCCACGTGAGGGAGACAGGAGAGCCTCAGAAAGGGGAGGAAGGAGAGGAGCAGGACAGGAGAACCAGGCAGACCCTCACTCTGCTCTCCTCCAGAATGATCTTCATCTGGAAATTGTTGGACAATCCTGCAGAGAGGGAAGAGAGTGCCACTCCCCCACCCCCCGCCCCCATTAGGGATTGACCTCACGATGCAGCCCCTTCAGCAAACCAAGCTTATGCAGCTGGTTGGGGATGAGCCCCACATGGTTCTATCTGACCATCTTGCAGTTAATAACCTTTTGAAGCTCCTTGAAACATCAAGTTGTCCTGAATACCAACAAATGCATGTCCACAAGTTCCCAAGTTTGGAAACCCAAATGCAGACTGAATAGTAGTCTTGCAGCTCTGCAGTCTCCTGCTGTTTTGCTTAGAGGCTTTACCCAAGAAAATCAATGCCTGTCTCTCTAAGACTCCCTTCACTTCTCTTGGCCTCAATGGCTACACTATGTTACTTGTTTACAGGCCATTAGCTGTTGAAAACTGGTCAGACTGTCAGGGAGGCCAAAGTGCTGCTTCTGGGGTCCACTTCATTTTCAGTATGAAGGCTGATTGAGGAGAGACGCCCTCTAAATAACCATCCACATGGAAAAGAAGGAAGGTTGAAAGACCACAATTTCAACGCAGGCTTTGCTCTTTTTCTTTTCTTTCTTCTTTTCTTTTTTTTTTTTTAATGTCCTGTAATTGAAAACTACTGAGCTTTACTTTATCCCTGCCATCCCTCTTACACCAACTGGGCCTGTAGGCTATAAGCTGCCCAAGTAAGCAAATATTATACTCGGCTTGGCAGCTGAGACTTTCCTATAAAAAATACAATTCCAGCTGAATAGCTCCTTTCTGTAGTTCCTCTAATTTCACGCTTGGTTGAGGTGAGCAGGGTGTATCCAGGTTAATGACAAACTGGAACCTGGGTTCTCGACAAAGAGCCTTTACATGGCTGCCCAGGGCACAGAAACCAGGAGGGTCTGGAAGCCATGGAAACTGTGCAAACACCAAAACAAGACCCAAAATCAACTTAATTGTTGTTGGTCTGACATCGCCAAGGCATCTGTAAACCTGGATCCTGATATTATGATACAGATTTTTTTCAATTATCGTGATACTTTGCAAGTTCCCCTTGAAATTATAGTGAAAAGGAGGTTCTTTCCAACCTCAAAAGGGGGTCGTGTGGCATTTTGAAGCCAAAGAGGGAACACGGACAAATCGAAGGTTACAAACCACTGTGGTAATGCCTGTCTAAGATATGCACCAAGCAAAATAAATGAGCAGACGCAGTTTTCAAAAGGGCAAAGTGGCGGTATAACTTGGTTTTCTCCTAAGAAAATAGTGTCATTGAACTGGGGGACAACTGCAGTGTGGAACAGGCTCTGGGAGATCTTTCCATCTCCTATGATCTAAATGCGAGGCCTGAAACACCCACATGCCCGTTTCTACCTAAAGAGAGGGGGCATTCTCCTGAAGTGGAAAATCAGCCCTTTCATCCTGACAGTTAGCGAAGATCTCTGTTAACAAAATACCGGTGGAGCCATGGCAGCCTCAGAGGGGAGTCACCCACGTGGGCAGCAGCCAAGACTGTCCTGGCAGGACCACGGGCTTGTTCATGAGCGGATCTGGGGCATCCCTTAGAGACGCCCCCCCCCTCAGCAAAATACTTGGTCCTGCATTATGCCAGTGAGAACCAGCCAATACCACTGACTAATTATTGTTTGTATGACTTTGTTTGCACCCACAGGCTAAGGAGCGCAAGGGAAATCCTGGTGACAATAGTAAAACCAATCACAGACATCGGTTATGAGGTCCCAGTGTGCCACGAACTATGCAACAGCTTTATAGTCACATGTCACTGAATACACACAACACTTACGGTGTTGAATAAATGTGCATTTCAAAACCATTCTTCTTCCCTACTTCTTTTGGGAAAGACTGGTCTTGAATGACAATCAACCATAACTGGGAGTTGGCCATGTGTTGAACATATTTTCCTAATTCCTTACATCCTCAGGTAGTATTCCGTTTTCCAAGTGAGGACAGTGAGACTCAGAGAGATTAAGGAGTTGGCCAAGGTCACACAGCAGACGGGCAGGAGAGAGGGCTTTTGGTGCTCTCTTCATTGAGGAACGGCCACCTCGCCTCCTCTGCTTTTTCCTCCCTCTTCTCACCCGAGTCACTGGCTGCTTTATCCTCAGCCAGGTTTCCTTCTTCCCCCAGCTCTCATCTTTTCTGCTCTATGAATTTTGTGCCTGTATTTTCGCTCTGTTTCTATCTTCTACTCTGCAGCATGGAATCCAAGATCTGGGAAGGCTAGCAAGTTTCTTGGAAGTTCTCAGTTGCCGTTTGCACTTCTCTGGGCAGCTGAGGGGTAAAAAGGAAGGAGTCCCAAGATGGAATCTCCCCCAACCTTTCTATTTTGAAGAAAAGGTATTTGGTTAATGAATTGTTTTGACTTTCAAGGGAGTCTGAACATTTGCAAAAATGAAGCATTCTGGAAACAAGTTGCTCCGAGAAATTTCCTTCAACCAAACTTTAACTGTGTCTCAAGACAATTTCCTTGAGTGCAAGCCAGTTCAGGACTGTCAGGCTTCCCCTCCAGCCCCAGACACCGTGGTAAAACCCTCTCTCATAGCCCCTTCCTTTCACAGAGCATGACGGGGTAGCGCTGTGGGGAACTGGCACTGCTGGAGCACCCTGGTGACCTTGCACGCCTCCACATTGGCCACGTGGGCAGCTGCAGTCTGACCCGAGTGTTGTTGGACCGCCCCAAGATCATCCCAGAAACAGGGCAAGGCAGGCAGTTTGCGAGGAGCTGTCACAAGGCCACTTTCATCCACCGCTCCATCTTGTATCTTGTAGGAGGCGTCCACAAAACATTGTTTTCAGCCTCCGTGGTTTCAGTGACGCCTAGGACTTTCCACCTGGCGCCTCCTCAGGGTTCAGCTGCAGCCTATAAAATGAATTTGCTGCCCTCTGGAATTGGGGCCCTGCCGTGCACACTGCCTGTCATGTGGCCCCTGCGTTTTGGTGTTGTCCTGTGGGACAAGGGAGCTGACTATATAGGAAGCTGTCTTAATCCACTTGGGTCTGTTGTGTCCTTACCTGCAAAACCTATTGCCGAGTGGCAAGCTCACTAGCCATGGCACTAAGCCCTGTTGCCTAGGAACCGCCTGGCCCCTTGACAGCAGCTGTTTTTTCCAGATGCCCTAGGAAGCCCTCCCTACCACATCATCCCCCAAGAGGTTTCTGGATGCCCCTGATCCTGCACATCCACAACAATGCCAAGTCCTACCCCAGTCACCTGCCCTAGCTGCAAATGATCTGCCAGTGGTTGGGGAACCTTTTCTTACTAAGGAGCAGAGGGCAGAATGAAGAATTCTCTCTTCAGATCTATGAATGTTTGCAATGACACTGCCTTCACCACACTGGGTGGGGGTGGTGGGGGGGTATGGGGCCCAGGGAGGTGGGAGTGCTCTGAAAGCCTTTGGGCAGGGATGGTGCACAGGTTTTGCCTGAGCAGATCAGGTGGTAGTGACTTCCTGAAGAACCATATGAAGAAGGATTCTGAGGCCAAGGCCCTTAAAGAAAGAGATGCTAGGGGGTCAGCCCAGTGGCATAGTGGTTAAGTTCAAGTACTCTGCTTCATTGGCCGGGGTTCTCAGGTTTGGATCCCGGGTGCTGACCTAGCACCCCTCACTGTGGCAGCGTCCCACATAAAATAGAGGAAGATTGGCACAGATGTTAGCTCAGCCACAGTCTTCCTCAAGCAAAAAGAGGAAGATTGGCAACAGATGTTAGCTCAGGGCCAATCTTCTTCACACACAAAAAAGAGATGCTAAAATCCATTAGTGATGTCTGCCATGGCAGAGGTATGGGGCAGTGTCAGGTCTTACAGTCGGTATTTACCCACCTCTATGGTTTTAAGGAGCAAGTCTACCTCTTGAAAGCACATTTGGGGAATAAAAAGGGAGCTTTCTTAGCTTTTCCTCCTGAATATGGTATTGCTTATAAGTTCTCTTATGTAAATCTCATTTTCTGGAAAAAATTAGGAATGGAGAAAATTAGTTTTGCTTTGGTTTGACTCCTTTTCTAAGGAGGTTTCTAAATAAATCACCTGGAAACATTCTGGTTATGGATGTTTCTAAACCAAGAGGTCTTTGTAATGTGTTGCTTTTGGTTTCCAGGTCCAGAATTCTCCGCAGTCAAGTTCTCGCTGTGAGCTAGGCACTGCTGGCAGCTGCCCTGCGTTTGCAGGAGGGGTAATGAGGAGAGAGAGCGTTGAGAAACTGGCTTCCTGAGCGGCTTTCTTGTGCTTGGCACTGTTTGAGGGACTTCATTGGGATAATAGATGTGAAGACCCCATTTTTTAGAGGGGAAATTAGAGACTCGGAGGTTATGTAACTTGTCCCAGGGTTTAAACCCAAGTCCGTCTCAGAAAAAAATTATTTGAGTAAATCCAACATAATTTAAGTAAATGCAATAAAACAATGCACCAATATTTTGCGAAAAACAACAATTATTTAAGGTTTGCTCCTCATAGAAGAAAACAGAAAGCCAATAAGCTAAAAACTCATGGAACAAAATAAAGTGAAGCTATGAAGAAAGTTTAAATATACAAATTCTGAAAAACAGGGAGTGAAGATGAAACAAGGATGTCTAAAATGTGAAGTCGGAAATGTAGAATTATTTCAAGAAATGCTATTTTAGAACTTTCAAGTATATATAGAAACTTTCCAATGAAGGTAAGAACAACTTTCCCAGAAGAACAAAGATCTCCTGTGCTCCTCCCTCACTGAAGAGCACATTAGGTCTTCCTTGATTTTGGAAACAGATCAGCCACCAGCAGGTAGGGAAGTAGCAGGTATTTCCTGTTAATCAGAGACCTCTTTTGTTACTTTTCCTGCATGTGAGGAGCCACTGTAAGTCCCCTCCTCAACTTATTCAGGCAGAAGCTTGTCTGCAGAACCTGCCAGAATAGGCTTCACCTTCTCTTCCCCAAAAAACAGCTTATGTTTTCATTGATTTTCTCTTTTTTCTGTTTTACATTTTAGTTATTTCTGCTCTTATCTCTATCATTCCCTTTGTTCTGCTTACTTTGGGTTTACCTTACCCTTCTTTGTCTAGTTTCTTAACGTGAAAGCCGAGGTCACTGAATTGAGAGCTTTGTTCTTTTCTCATACAGAAATTTAGCACAATGAATTTCCCTCTAAGCATTCTTCAGTTGCATCCCGCATATTTCGGTATGTTGTGTTTTCATTTTCATTCAGTTCGAAATACTTTTTACCCTAATATTTTTAAATAGACTTTACTTTTTAGAGCAATTTTAGATTCACAGCAAAACTGAGCAGAAAGTACAGAGATTTCCTACATAACCCCTGGCCCCACACATGCACAGCCTCTGCCACTGTCAACGTCCTGCACCGGAGCGGTACATTTATTACAATAGATGAGCCTACCTTGAAATCTGATTATTACCCAAAGCTCACAGTTTACCTTAGGATTCACCCTTAGTATTGTACATTCTATGGGTTTTGACAAATATGTGATGACGTGTATCCTTCATTATGGTATCAGATAGTTCCCCCTAAAATAAATAAATAGTTTGACCCCAAAATGCTCTGTGCTCTGCCTCTTCATCTCTCCCTCCTGCCTAGTCCCTGGAAACCACAGATGCTTTTACTGTCCCCATAGTTGGACTCATACAGTATGTATGACTTTCAGATTGGCTTCTTTCACCAAGTAATATGCATTTAAGTTTCCATCATGTCTTTTCACGGCTTGATAGCCCATTTCTTTTCAATGCTGAGTAATATTCCACTGTCTGCATGTACCACAGTTTCTTTATCCATTCACCTACTGAAGGGCATCTTGGTTGCCTCCAAGTTTTGGCCATTATGAAAAAGGCTTCTATAAACGTGCTTGTGCAGGTTTTTGTGTGATTGCTAGCTTTAAACTCAGTTGGGTAAATACCAAGGAGCATGATTGCTGGATTGTATGCTAAGGATATGTTTAGTTTTGTAAGAAACTGCCAAACTGTCTTCCAAGGTGGCTGTACCACTTGCTTTTCTACTGGCAATGAATGAGAGTTCCTGTTGCTCCACATCCTCACCAGGCAAAATATATTTTAATTTTCCATTGACTCTTTGGTTATTTAGAAGTATGTTCTAGAAGTGGAACAGTTTTCAAATATTTGGGGATTTCCCAGATGTCTTTCTTCTATTGGCTTCTAATTTAATTTCACTTTGGTTAGTTAATATACTTTGTATGATTTCAATCCTTTTAAATTCATTGAGATTTGTATTATGGCCCAGAATATGGTCTATCTTGGTAAATGTTATTGGCACTTGAAAAAAAAGTGTATTCTCCTGTTGTTGGGTGGAATGTTCTATAAATGTCAATTAGGTCAATTTGGCTGGCAGTGTTACCACCAAGTCTTCTGTCCCCTGACTGATTTTCTGTTTACTTGTTCTATCAATTATGGAGAGAGGAGTTTTGAAATTAATTATAATTGGAGCTTTATCTATTTCTCCCTTCATTCTATCAGGTTCTGCTCCATTTAGTTTGAAGCACTGTTATTAGGTGTATAAACTTTTAGAATTGTTATGTTCTCCTGATGAATTGATCTCTTAATCATTATGAAATGAACCTCTTTATCCCTGGTAATATTCTTTTCTCTGAAATCTATTTTTTCTGATATCAATGTAGTCACTGAAGCTTTATTTATTTATTTTTTTGGTATGGCATATATTTTCCTATCTTTTTACTTTTAACTTATTTGAGTCTTCATATTTAAAGTGGGTTTCTTGTATGCAACATTTCATGTAGGCAAGGTCTCATTATTTGTACCTAATCTGTCAATCTTACCTTTTAATTATGGTGTCTAGACCATTTACGTTTAATGTGATTACTTATATAGCTGGGTTTAAATCTACCATCTTGGTATTTGTTTTCTATTGTTATATCTATTCTTTGTTCTTCTCTCCCTTTTTCTGTCTTCTTTTGGATTAATCAGATATTTCATTATCTTCTATTTGTCTCCTTTGTTGGCTTATTAGCTATACTTTTTAAAAAGTGATTGCTTTAGGTTCAATAGTATACATCTATAACTTATCACAGTCTATCTTCAAGTAATATTGTATTACTTCACATATAGTATAAGAACCTTACAACAGTATACTTCTATATACCCTCTTCCAGTCTTTGTATTATCTATTTTACTTCCACACTTGTTTTATAACCCTCTGTATATTATTTTTTGCTTTAAAGTGACTTAAAAAGTAAGAAGTAATTTTTTCTGTTATCATCTGGTATTGATTTCCTTCTGCCTGGAGGACTTGCTTTAATGTATCTGTTAGTCATGAATACTTTTGGCTCTTGTATGTCTTTGCCTTTGTTTTTGAAAGATATTTTCACTGGGTATAGAATTGCAAGTTGACAGGATTTTTTTTCTTTTCAGTACTTTAAAGATGTTATTCCACTCTCTTCTGGAATATCAATATAGTTATAATAATATTTAAATATCATTGTTTACTAATTCTATCGTGTTAATTCTGGGTCATTTTTAATTTACTATATTTTCTTCTCATTTGAGTTGTTTTTCTGCTTCTTTTGCATACCTGATAATTGGATCCCACACATTGTGAATTTTACCTTGTTTGGCACTAGATATTCTTGTGTATTTAAATATATATACATATTTGGGCTTTGTTCTGGGTCACAGTTAAGTTACTCGAAAACAATTTGAGCCTTTGAGGTCTTACTTTTAAGCTTTAAGGGAGAATCAAAGCAACTTTGGGTTTAGGGCTGAGTTTTAACACTGTAATGAGGCAAAAACACCTTTCTGAGACCTCTACCTAATGCCTCAAATTTTACGATATATGTCCACTATGCCTGGTGGAAATGAACTATTCTCAACCCCGTTTAATATCGGCAGATTGTTCTGCCTGTATCTTTTGGGTGACTCTTTTCTCAGCCTCTGATATGTTTCTCACGTGTTTATACTTTATAATACTCAGCTTAGGGACCTAGGGATGGCCCATTTGACATCCCCAGAGCTCTCCTGCAGTATTCTGCCCCCCAAACTGTAGTTACCTGGGACTCGCCAAACTCCCAACTGTCTCTTCAACTCAGAGACTCTAGGCTCCGCCTGGGTTGCCCCTTCCTGCACCGAGTCATGGACACTCTCTAGCAGTAAGCTGGGGCAACAGTTTGTTTTCCTCTTTCTCAGGGATAGTGCTGGCTATTTTTCAATGCTGGAAACTTTGGTTTTTCCTCTATTTTTATAAGTTGTTTAAAGGGGGAGAATAAATCTGGTATCTGTTACTTCATCTTGGCCAGAAGCATAATTTTGTCTTTAATTTTAAAGAGCAAAGGAAGTCCACTTTTTATATCAAAAGGTTACAAAGTTTTTTTGGGGGGGGGGTTGTATTGGTTGGCCCAAATAACTTATGACTAAAGATGTCTACTTCTTATGACATTTCCTAAGGTTTTTCAACATCTTCAGGAAAACAAACCAACCTCTTCTAAAGAGTAAAAGAGAATCCTCTTGGGGTAGAAAGAATCCAAGAAGAGTCATGCATCAACTGATATAAAACTTAAACAACAACCTTAAGGACAAACTCAAGGCTATATCTAAGATAATAAAGTTCTTCAGGATTTGTGTGAAAGAAAGCTGCTTACCAGGGTTTGATCTTTGAGCATTCTTCAGAGAATGAGCGAATTCAAAGCAGGGAATGGACAAAATCAGAATGATTGTGATGTCCTAGGCAGGAAGCAAATGTCTCATTTGGGAGGTGATTTGAGGCACTGTTTTCAAGAGTCTGGATATTAGAACTCAGTGTCTACCAATTACATATATTATCCTTTATAATCAGAGTGAGGGAAGAGAGAGAAGGGAAAACGCAAAATAGAAATGAGTGACTAAAGAGATTCCCTCCTAATGGGGTAGTCATGGCAGAGACCGTTTGTTGTCTAACCCAATATCCATTTGAAACTGACTTCTCATGTGCCATCTCCCACTACAGAAGCTGAAAAGTGAGATACTCGCTTTCTCAACACGCATTACATGTGGGGAGGCAATGTTCTGGCCAATGAGGTGAATGGGGAAGTCTGCCAGAGGGCCTCTGGGAAGATTCCCTTTGCTGTCAAAAGGAGAAAAGTCCTAATTAGTACTGCCTTCCCTCCATTTTTACCTCCTTACCTTAAACTTGGATAATATGACTGGTACTGTGGGAGCCATCTTGAAGCTAAACAATATATGAAAATCCAGTACCGGAAGGATGGAAAAGAAATAAAAAGAGCCTAGGTCCTTCTTGGTGTTTTGAACAGGTAGAACCAATGCCAACAACTGACTTACTCTGGACTTCTTGCTATAGGGGAGGAGTAACCCCTATCTTTTAGGTCATTACTTGTTGGTTTTTCTTAAATTTGAAGGCTAATTCCATTCTTTCTTGATACAGAAGCAGAAAGTAAATTGGCAGGGCTGCACTTTGTTCGTCT